TGGGCAAGACACAGTGGAAGACTTAAATTAAATGTCAAATCATGAGGTACTAACAATAAATAATGGAGAGTTTTCTGTTGCCTTTGGTGGCTGCAGATAAGCCACTGGATAAACTATTTACTGCAGGTAGGTTGAGCAGTCCTAGATGGATCATTCTGTCCTAGATAGAGCATCTGTGTGTTTTGTTACTTAGATGAGTGAGCAGACTGGTGTGAGCTCATGCTGCCCACATCTCAGGGCATTTATGGTCCCAGGCCCTGTCTGTACTGTAAAGGAGCTGGGAACGTACCAAAGCTTGAAGAGCAATCCTCTCTCATCTCTTCTCCTTATGCAGTGCAGACCTGTCTAGTGCACTAGCCTTCCCCACTTACCTGCATCGCGTGCAAGCGGTGGTGGTGGCAGCATGCTCTGCAGATGGATGTGCTCTTTTCAGGATGTCTAGTAGAAAGGGATGCTGATCCATGATCCAGCAGGGCATTAGCAGACAGAGAGGGGAGATGAGATGACTTAGAGACAGTGATGTGATCCATTTACAGTGCCCATGATGTCTTCCTGTAAGAACTAACTGCTATTCTGTCCCTCAAGGGACACTGACACTCAATATTTGGCTACCATTCTGCATCATGGCACTGAGGTTGTCTGACCCCCTGGGATGTGTGGCCACAGTCAGAGGTTGTTCAGGGGTCTCAGTGAGGCCCTGAACTCCTGCCTGGCAGAACCTAAGACTTATCTTCAGCTTGTTAACTGCAAGGGCAAGCTAAATGCCAACAAGACTTACCACATCCTTACACGTGCCATGTGTTGAGCCCTCTGAAGTTTCTGCAAAGCCTTGGAGAAACTCTTTCATCAGATATGAAGATAACATGACTATAATTTTTCAGGGTACCGCACATGTGCAGATGGCACCAGTGTGTGAAAAACTGTTAATCTAGGGTTTATAGAGCTGTGGATTCCTTTATCAGGTCTTTCAAATGCTCTCCCTCCTTTGCCACTACACTGTATTCATTCAGAACTCATTTACTTCGCCCTTATAATATTCCCTCTTTCCTCCACCATTTTTCCTCTTTGCCAAAAGTCCCCAGACACGTGAGGCAGCCATAGGCTGGAGAACTCTTTTTTTTCCTCTGTCGGACCTGCTCTGTAGAACACTTTGTCAATCCTACAAGCAAATTTTTCCCCTTAGGAAGATATTTGCTGTGTGTTGCAGAGCTCTCTTTTTCCAGGGAGGCTTCCTTTGTACTGTCCCTGCTCGCTGCATACTGCACATTTTTCTGCACTGTGGACCTTGGCTTGACTCCTCAAAGGAGTGCTTGCTCTATTGAGTAGCTGGAGGGTGAAGAGGAATTACCTGGAAAAAGGACTGCAGCACCAACAACGGAAACAGAAGGGGACAATCACCTTACTTTTTCTGTGTAAAGGACCTAGTACTAATGTCCCCTTGATCTTAGTTTATAGCCTACTTTGAGGAGAAACCTGAAATGCAATACCATCTACTCTAAAGGTGCATGTGAATTTTGAGAAAAGTAGTGAACTGTCCACTCTCTGTTGAGCAGATGATGTAGTACAGATACAGAAGACGAAGAACATGTTCTTCTACCATGGTGAGTGTGGATTATCCCCGCCACCCCCAAGCCTGGAACTAGAGCAGAGGTGGCCGTGAGTACAACTCACCCATATGTACAATCCCCAAAGGTCATACATCTGGAAGGAAGCAAGTGAAAGATTTACAGGAGGAAATACGTGCAGGAACAGAGGGAGGTTCATTAGCAAAAGAGTTCCTGAGCTTTCTGTCAAGTTTGCCATTTGTGCGTGTGTCCTGAACCTGCTCTGACAGAGCAAACGGACAATGGACAGGCTCACTCCATCTCATTCTATTGTCCTGAGGCGCTCCACTCCTTGGTAAGTCTGACAATCCATGCTGGAGATTGTCCTGGGGAAGGCTGTACCTGGTTTGGGTAGCTGTCAGAGCATGGTTAGACATATGGAGAAACCTTTCCTGGAAAAGGATAACTGAGCAGAAGGCAACTTTCACCTTCACACGAGGAGCAGGGCGTGGACAGAGGAAAAGACATCATGCGGACACTTGCGTAATACTTGTTAATTCCCAAGAAATAGTAACTGCAGTCCTTCTAGGCCATGGTGGTTCTGCTTTCTGAGACTGTCTCTCCCACTCCCCCAGCCACACTAAGTTTGCAGACCTAATGCCTGTCAGAGCACCCAGTCTGCCTCGGGGGATGAGAGCTGTCAGGAGACACTCGCCCACGGCCACAGTTGCAGGCACAGAGAGGGGCTACAAGGAATACCCTGTGGTGTGGTTTGGCTCTGTGCAGCAGCATCAGGTAGATACTATTCTGGAAAAAGCGGTCACAATATGCCCCAGTGTATGTTTATTATGTGATTGCAAGGGGGAAGAAGCTTCTGAAAATTTCCCCCTGTTTGCACCTAGACACTGTGATCCAGTGATACCTAAATCTGTCTGTTTCTTATCAGTATCTGTCCTTTGTGCCCAGGTCCACATTAGTTGGTCTGTTCCATTAAGACACTGGTGTGTGATCAGAGCATAGGAAAAAGGGAATGAGAGATATTCCGGCCTGTGAAGAAAACCATTTCTTGGTTGCATGGTCAACAAGGGGGTTGCTTCTTGGGCTCAAGAATCTGCACAGAATCCCCAGTCTTGATGGCAGAGCATCCAGCAACGCTTTATTCCCTACAGCAGAGTGATATTTAGAAAGGTGTCCCAATGGGAAAGCCATGAAAAGTTCAATTTAAATATCAGCAGCTATTCTAAGTGAAAGCATGAATTGGACATGCTTATAGAGTTCAGTGAAGCTGCTGAGAGGAGTTAGTGCCATGGGAAAAAGCAGCATAAATGTGTAGTATTTTCTGGCTCTTCTTCGGTACAGAGGGATAGGACTTGAAAGCTTATTTGTTCAGCAAGATTTTGACACTTGTCAGTTCCTGCCATGGTTATGTCACAACTCATGCAAAAGTGAGTTTCATCAGCTTAAATGAGATGTTCTCTGAAAGTCTATGGATAACTTTCTGGCTGTAGGCCCACCTCTATCCATTTCTCCTGCTCCTTCCCTCTATAGGGGTTGGAATATTTTTTTCAATTAGAAAAGGGAGTCTGTTACTGGGGGAATGCAAACAACATTGCAAATGGGAAATCTGTTTTTATCCTCCCTGTCCACCAACAGCAGCACCAAGTGCAGTCTAATTGGCAATTTGAGTATTTTGGGGAGGTGAGAGTTTCAAATCTGAACTTAGTTACTTTGATCAGCTTAAAGGCCTGGAGGGAGCGTGGTGTAGCCTGTCATTTTGCAAGCACCTTAGGAATCAGTTGCTTGGCCTTTTGTGCATTAATTCTTAACATCACAGTTTTAGGCTGAACTCTGAGCCTAGAATCACTACGGTGGAGGAAACATGTAGGAAACATATAGAGAAACATGAAAAGGAGCCACTTGTCTTGAAACCCACTGTGGGAGTCTATCAGACTCAGATCCTGCCTGAGTTTCATCTGTTTACTGGTCTTAAAGTTTAACTCACTGAAACTACAGCCTTTGTTATTTGTTCTAATCAACTTTCTATTGTCATTGTAAATGACTTTGCTCTTTGCCTGGTTGAGAGAATCTGATATAAAAGGGTTCTAAAGAAAGGTGAAAACTAGATGAATCCTGCAGGCAAGAGAGAGGAGATTTGAATTAAGTTGTAAAAGGAGCTGATCTTCCTACCTGTTTATCATCTGCTTATTATCCAGAAGAGTTTCCATCCAAGCAGCTGCAATATTGCAGCGACTGTGTATTGGTATGTGAGTACCAGGGACCTTTATTTTCCAAATTCATATCCTGGTCATTGGAAGAAGTCTCACAGATCCCAGTGTGTTGTAGATTTAATCTTTCTTTCACTTTTCTATATGGCTTTCACATGCTTATAAGAGAATACTTTCTCAGTGTCACATACAATTACATGAGGCATTAATCACAATATGCAGCAACTTCTGCTCCTTTCTTCTTGCACATGGTGAACATGCAGGCCATTCTAGGATGAAACTGCCTGAGATGAGAACAGCTTCCCAAGTACTTTGTAATAAGAAGGTGTCTCTTGTATCTTAATAATAAAGAGATGAAGAAATGGAGGAAATGAAACTTGATAAAAGCAAACAGTAAGTGTATTGCACTGGGGGAAAGAGAAAGTGAAAGAGAGCAAACACAAAGTATTGGTGCCAGTAAAACCACTACTTACCACAGTGTGACTCTGGACTTGAAGTGTGGCTGCTCACAGCATGATAGAGCTTGGTTTTAGTGTGCTTCTTCCTCTCTACTGAACCACGCTTCAGCAAGCACAAAGCACTTACAATGTTGCTCACACATGAAAATTATTTCATGGCTGGCAACCCGAAGTGATGTTATATCAAGTTCTAGACAAAGATATGAAGGATATTACAGTTGAGTTCATAAGACCTTCTATTAAATATTTTCTTAAATCAGAATATGTTTATCTACTTGGAATTTGGGTGAAGAGGCTGTGCCTTCCTCCAGTTCATTAAAATAAATCAACTATATGTACACACATGTATATAAATTGTGATTCCTATTACTGTGAAGAAAATTATGTATAATTTCTTATACATCTATACTCACTGCTGTTACTCCAAGTCAGTTCTTTAAGAAATTAATGTGATTAGGTCATATTTTACATTTGATTAAGAAAAATGCCTTTCAGGAGACTGGTTCAAGGATGAAGCCACCTACTCTGGAAAAAAGAACATTTCTTGCTGCAAATCCTTCCTTTGTTACAATTGCCTGTGGAAGTCTTTGTTTCTCCTGAGTCTCAGTTTGAACAACATGCTGACACAGAGTGTTTTATTTATTTTAATACTTTTTGTGGTTGCTTTGTGCTCAGTGGATCTGATTCTTCAAAACAGATTTTTCTTGTTTGAAATTTGCATCTCTTCTGTGCACAGTGGTCTCAGGATTCACTTTCTTTTGATCTTTTATAAGGATTGGCAGAGCAATGAATCATTTCTTGGTAACTGCGAGGTCTGAAGCATATGAAACAGTCTCCTTTGCTCAACTACAGAATTCTGCTTTAAGTTACTTTTGGGGGCAATATTCATGCTTGGAACAAAACAAAAATCAAGGAATCTTCTACAAAGGTAGGTACCGGCTTCTTTGAACCATAAAGGAAGGAATGTCAATGCTTAATCATTCCTATCAGATTGATGCATGTTCTCAAATGCTTCTAGACTGCCACCTACTTTTTTTTTTTTTAATCTGCCTCTACAATCCTTGTTGAAGTGCTTTGAGATGACTACAGTTGATATTTTTTCAAATTACATTTTAGAGAACCTGTTCACCTGCATGAGTTAGAGTTTGTTTTGCCTAATTTTAGATAAATGGGTGCATAATTGATATCTCTGTCCCTTGTCAAATGTAGAAGTTTGTTGGAGCTGCAGGGTTAGACTACCATGTTAAATTAATGGCAAGTGCCCTTACTGCAGAGAATATTTTAAATTTAATTCTAATTAATATCAGCTTCAGCCTCTAGAAATGTAGTTTCACTGATAACTCCATAACCCCCAAGTTCTAGGAACTGACTTCCTGTTATGAATATATAGGCGGAAAGTAAACTTATGTGAGCATTTTTATCACTATGGGGGACAGCCTGGACTGGGCCTCTCTCACACAGATGGTTAGATCTCCACAGCGGGTTTGTATATATACAAAGTATTTTGAGACTTGAGCATCTTAGATTATTTATGAAATATAGCAGGAACACAAGCTAGGGAATTTTACCCTGTCACCTATCATTAACTTTCATATAGCTTTAGTTATCAAAAATTCATAATGATGTTTTGCAATACTATTCACTTTATTCACAGTAATTCACAGATTGCTATCTTGTTTTAAAAGTGGCAATTTCTTGTCTTGAACTCACACTGAAGTGTTGGAAGAATACTTCCATGCAGAAAGTTAGATGCTACTGGAATAGGTGACAAAGCATCCTCTCCTTTAAATATTATTAAAGGAGACACTAGCAGTGAATTAAACAACCCCTCTCAGCAGAATTTTCTCTGTATATTGCTGTTTATGACAATGCATAGATTTTTTTCCTGGGACAAGAACAGTTTCAGGAAGGGAGTTGTCTATTTTCATGTCCCTTAAACCCTATGTGTGCTCTTTGGGTGCCTTCTTGATCCATTTTTCCATGGTTTGGGATATTTAGGGATAGAGATATTCACCTGAGAACAGAAGAGGTCCGAATGTGGATCAAAGATCAGATTGGATTTATATTCTGTTTTCATCAGTGCCTGAAAGCAGATGTTTGTGTCTAATATTATTTGTGTGGTATCTAATATAGTTTCCAACTCCTAATCACTAGCAACTGATGGGACTTTCTAAGCAGTTACTCTATTTGGACCATTAATTTTTAAATCCACCTATTTGCCTAAACATTTTTTTAATCTATTTTTGGCTTTTAGTGTTATTTTAGCACTAAGGAAAAGAGTTCCCACAATGTAAGTGTGCTGTGAGGAAAAAGACTTTATGTTTTTGTTTTTACCCTGCAGTAAGCCTGTAGAACCTGAAGTCTGGTTCTAATGTTAAACCAGCTCATCATGCAGAGGAGAAAGCAGAATAATCCTATTTAGTGGTTTTTTTGCTACTAGGTATCTGCAGAAGCACAAGTTTAACATACAAACATGACACTGGGTTTGGTACATCTAAAGGTAAGGAACAGATTGAAACCTGGCAAGCAGTAGCATATGATTTCCATTCGTACAGTGACATCCAATGGGTCCCTCCAGAGGCTTTCTTCACATTTTGTTCCCATCCTTCAAGCAGGAATAAATAGTCCTGTCAGCATCACTTTCAGATCACAATTTCTGTCCACTGGGACTTCTCACAGTGTCAGAATATAGTCCTTATAGATAAATGGAATTAACTGATTGCTCAGTAACTGTGGACAGTACACATGGAAAAAGCTGTTTAAGTTTGTTTTTTTTTTTTTTAAATTCACTAGACAGCTTCTCCCAAGCCAGTCAGACCCCAGCCTGTACTTCTGCTTGGGATTATTCTGTCCCAAGTATGGGGTTTTACATTTATCTTTGCTATCTTCAGTTCTTTTGGCTCAATCTTCCAGACTTCTGTGTATGATGGTTCTACATCCTGGCATACACATATCTCCTCCCAGTCTGGTGTCACGTGCAAACTTGGTGATGGCACTTTCAATACCATCATCCAGATTGCTCACAAAGAAGTTGAATACTATTGAGCCCTATAATGATTTCTAAGGTACTCCACTCATACTCTCTGGCCAGAGTCCAACCTCTTGCTCAAAGGAGGGTCAGCTATGAGATCAGACCAGGTTGCTCAAGACTTATATTGAGTCAGGTCATGAAAACCTCTGAAGACCAAGACTATGCTGCCTGTCTGGGCAGCTGGTTTCATGGCTTGTCTGTTCTCACAGTGACCAGAAGCTTTTCCTTACATCCAGTTGAAACTTTCCTTGATTTGATATATGCCCTTCATCTCTTGTCATCCTACTAGGCACCAGGGTGAAGAGCCTTGCTCCTTCTTTCCAGTAACCACTTACCAGAACTGGAAGGTTGCTATTAACAAGTCTGCTTCCCTCAGCCTCTCCTTATAGGGCACATGCTACTCTCTGACCAGGTGCTTTTACATATTCCGTTCACGAAGGATTTAATGTTTAACACCAAGCCTACTGGTTTTTCAAGTTATCTTATGTTACATGGGATTTTGATCTATCAGACTGATACAGCAATGTACTTAAATCACAACACAGGTACAAATCATACTCAGGAGAATATCACAACTGTAATGTGCAGTTCAGTCACATCAAATGTGATTTTCATTACTAATCTCTATAATACATTCACCATCATGATGCTGGGTGCTCCCAGCCTCCAGGAAAGGTATATATGTGTTGGAAGCCATTCAAGCCTATAGGTCTCTTCAGAGTTCTGTTTGTTGTTTGCATTTTATACTCTACATTGGGCTGAGTCGTGCTGGTATATTTGCATTCTTTTCATTAACTCCGGGATCGACAGCTACACAGCTGGTTCATTCATCCAGCTGATAACAGCTATTTGCCTAGAGCAAAAGCTGCCTTCTGGTTCCCTTTCTGCTGAGGTAAGTTCATGGCTGTGCCACAGCTATGCTCAGTAATTCACCCATCCTGCCATCTCCAGGCCTGCCCTGCACACCTTGCCTGGATACTGTGGGGTGCCCACCTTGTTACTACACAGTGGTCCTGTCTCCCCATCCCTTAGTGACCAAATGGCCCTTGCTGCTCCCTGGCAGTCTAACTCTACCCTAGCTGGATCCGGACAGGTGATGAGCAGTAACAGAGAGGACTGACTGGAGAGAAACTGAGATAGCTGCAGACTGAGGTGGTCCTGGAATTTTTCCTGGCCTATCTGAGTGCTGTTTCCTTCGTTAGCACCAAAGATGCCTTCATTCTCCTTGACCACTGATGAGCCCCAACTAGAACATCAAGCACCTTCATTCAGCTGCTCCCCTATGAGCTCTGCTTGGACCTCTCTCACCTTGGTGGAGGGTCAAATACCCTATTAGACTCCAACCACTAGGTCCCTCTGAGCAGTCCTTTGCCATGTTAGTCTTTTTGTGTTTCATTTTTTTTAAGAAAAGTTTTTTTAAAAGGAGGATGAATGGTCTCATGTGCCAGGTGCTAGAAGAGCGGTGACAATGAGAAATACATTCCTGCTAGGTTTTATGCTTCCGCAGCTCTCTGCCTTCTTGTCCTGTGTTCCTAGAGGCGGTGATGATCAGAATCTCTTCCTGCAATTGTTACAAGGTCTGTTTGTTGCTACACATAGCACCCTGTTCAGCTGTATGTTTGTTTACAGAGCTAATCCTAGGCCAGGATCAAGATTTAAAAAGATTAAATCAAACAAGGTGTGATGCTCCTGTGATTTGTTTTACACATTTGTAAATACTTAGAGATGCAAACCAGAAATATGCTTTTTTTTTTTTTTTTAATTTTTTTTTTTTTTTTTTTTTTTAATTTTGACTAGGAATAACTGAAAAGGCCTTCTCAATTTTTTGTCTTTTACAAATCTTGCTATACAGCACAGGAGTTCTGTGTATCATTTTGAGGGGAAAAGTTCATTACATTAAAATATGGTATGTGCCTGCAGTTGTAATGTAGGTTGTTTGAAGGCTAATTTCCCAGTGATTGATTATCTTATGTAATGGTTTTAAAACAGCAACTCTTGTTCCCTTTCTCCATGTAAAACAACTCCAAATGGTTTCTATTTTCATTTTCTCAATCGTTACATTTTTCTTCTCTTTCAGTGCCCAGGAATTGGAGTTATAAAGATACCAGAATGTTAATAGATTTGACTCAGAGTTCATGAGGTCGAACTTGTTGGTCTTCCCGTATGACTAACAGTGCAAAAACCTGGAATCAACTCAGTTAATCTTGGGCATAAAATAACCAGCACTGAAGATTGCACATCCATAAATCAATAGAGACTAACCTCTGATTTATTGCTGTTTGGGCCACATGTTCTACTTTCACCATAAAAGCAGATAAAGGTAACTATAATTAAAATGTCTATTTCCTTTTCTACTATTTGTGTTAACATTCATGCTATTGAATATACCCCTTTCATAATACGACAGTTTTTCAGTATTCTACAGTTATTGTTTCATTAAAAATATCCCTGTGATGTTAACTGTATAATAAATTAAAATTCAAAATAAAATATCAGCCATTTCCTCCATGAGAGAGAATAATAAAGCCATAATAAAAAAGAATAAAGTTTAGCAATATGATAAAGTAGCATGAGGTTTTTATAGACTCCATATAAGTGCTAAAATCTATAAATTTTTTATATTGTGTAAAATAGTAAAAAATAATAATGAAGGGGGTGGGGAGAGGAAAAAAAGCAGCATTAACAGGCTGGTTTAGTCCTGAAACTGCTGGTTTTCTGATTTCCTTTTATAATCTGAAAAAGAGTGTATAAAAATTATGCATATGAAATTATTTGTTTGTAGCTTATCTTATTTACTACAGATATTAAAGGTAAATTGAAGAAGGAAAACTGTGGGCTTCCACTTTCCAGCCCACAGTATTGGTAAATTAAGAAACTCTAAAGCCTAATCACATCTCTCCTTGACTTCCTTTGTTCACACCTAGAATCCCTGTCCATACTCAGCTCTTAATTTTCCAACTAAGCCTTTAACAACTTCTTTATTTGGCTTCTTTTTATATATTTGGGTTTTAACTGAAGGTAGAAGGAAGTGCAAACATGGGAAGGAGAGGATAGGACATGAATTGCTCCATGCAAGCATTTTCTTCTTGTTGCATCACCCTTCACAACACACTGGTGGGAAATTAATTTAAAATCTTAATTTTCTTGTAGATTAATAACAATTTATTTAATTGTACTAGTTCAATACTTAATATTTCTTCTGACAGCAGACTGCACAAGGCATTTGCAATTTTATTTAAATAAAACTCTCTTATATTGATTTTTATTTAAATAAAGGAGAAAGGATGAAAGAAAGAACCACGGCTGGTGCTCAGTTGCCCTCTGAGCAGAATCCACGACATATATACACACAAAGAGCATGGACTCCTAAAACAGGTACAAATAATTATTGCTTTAAAAACCTGGCATTTTGGAAACTCAACACTGGTCAGCCTTGTTTTCTTGTATTGTGTTGGTCTAGAGACAGAACAACAAAATGTACTTGATATTCCCTAGAACATGCTGACTTGTAAATTATGGGAGCACTTATTGCCATCTCATGATGGAGCTGTTTCTACTTAATGGACAGGTGGCTCATCACCGACAAGGACATTGTGCATTCCACTTGCATAGTCAAGATTATTGTTGGATTTCCAAAAAGGGGGAGAGGAAGGAGAGAGGAAACAAAGCTACAATGGCATAAAATAAGGAACTGACTGAGCAGTTGCACTTCTGAAATAAAAAGTTTATTCCTTCTGTAAACTTCAATCTTTGTTTTCATGTGTGGGTCTTTAAAACAACAGTAGTGAAAGGACAATGTGGGACTAGATGAAGAGATGCGCAAGAGAACATATCAATATGAGTCACTGCATAATCTGAAAACATTCAAAGACAACCACAGCTTTAATCTCAAAGGTTACAGCCCTGAGACACTACGTAGTATTAGAACATAGTTAGCATTCCTCATGCACAGCACCAACACTTAACAGTTTAACACAGAAAATTAAGATAAATACTGAACACAGCAAAAAATCCCGGGGCAATTTACAGAGATGTAATGTTATTCTTCAAACTGCAATCCACCCAGGATTACTGAGGACTACTGAACCTAAACGACAAAGAGCTGAAGAGGAGTTGGTTTATGCCTGCTCTCTCAAAAGGTAAACAAGGGCAGATTATTTAAACTAGAAAAAAACTCCCATCATCTATCTCCTGCCTTATTCCATGCCAAGGATGTGGGGTCTTGGGGAAGCAGCACAGAGGTCCCCTCCAGCAGAAGAAAGTGAGAAGGGATAGCAAAAAGGGAGGCATTTGCAACTATACTGCAGTTATGAATGGTGTGGAGAAAATAGATAGGGTTTAGTTGCTCAGCATCTCTTCTAAAAGAAAAATTAAGAGGCTTAAAATGAAGCAAGCAGAAGGTAGATTCAAAACAGTCTGAAGAAGGTGGTCTTCATACAATGGGGAGTTAAACTGTGGAAGTCCTTGTAGTTGGGTGTTATGAATGTAAAATTTTCCATGAATTTCAAAGGGAAAACGGAAATAAGTGATGTAGGAGAAATCCATTTGAACACCACAAAGAAATCACAACTGACTCGAGAAGTCCCTCAGCTGTCAGGGAGCCACAAGAGTGAGGGTGCTCCACAAGGGCACACAAGTCAGGAGCCAAGGGTTATCCCAGCACATGGGGCAGTGACCTCGCCAGCCGGGGCACAACTCCACTGTACCCAAGCAATTTCGTGGCAGTAACAAGGTCTCTCAACAGTCTAGCAATCATTAAACCAACAGGACTTACTGGCCCTGATCAGCCCCACCTCAGGCCTCCGCCCACAGCCACTGCTCATGGGTGCAGGGGCTCCATTTGAGCTCAGGCCAGGGCCTTCAGTTTCTGTGTGAGCTGTTGTAGGTGTACCTCTTTCTAGTCCCATCCTTGAGCTGTTTGGCTTTCCTGGTTTGAACCTGGACCTGACATGTTACCTTATTTCTGCCTGATAATCACTGTTGATAGGACCTTCTTTGACACCACTCCTTCTCTAGTTGCCCCGTTCAAGAGCAATGGGTCTGTACTTCCTCAGTGAGATCATGGCCCAGCCTTTGTTGTGGCCATCTTTGGCTCCTGGATTGTTCTCTGTTGTGGAAGAGTCTTGCTTTTGCTGCCCCCTGCTAGTTAGTTCAGGCCTTCTCAGGTCCCGAGCAGAGTACCACGGAGCCTGGCTCTCAAAGCCCCCTTGCAGCTATGTGTCCTAAGACTTGACCCCATGGCCACCCTGCAGTTTTTGTTTTGACCCAAGCCCTGGGGGAAGCTGTGATCAGTATGAAGAGGCAGACGTGTAGGCAGGTGGTTTGTCGGTGCAACAGCTGCCATTTCTACCACAATAAAGCAATCCCCTTTTCTCCATCTCTGTTCTCATTCTTGGGATGGAGTGAGGTGGATGGTGACTATGTCCATGGGCTCCTCCTCGGTGGACAGTATGGAGGGTGAAGGAAAACACGGTGGAGTTCCTCCAGAGGTCTGCGTATGTTCTTCCTGGCAGAGTCAGGTGCTTCTCCAGTGATAAGCCAGTCTGACCGGCTTCTCCAGGCTCTTGGGTAGGCCAGTCCTAGCTGTCTCAAAGGCCACAGGCAGCCCTAGACTTTAGAAGGCCATGCTCTTCACACCCAGTTTCCAGTCAGCTCCATGAACTGAGTTGTGTAGTGAGTGGCCAACTGCTTCCTCTGATGAAGCTCCACCAAGACAGCCCTGGCCACCGCACAGTTGTGGTCCCCCCCAAACTGCTCCAAACCAGTAAGTCATCAGGTTTTGGGGTACTGGGCCATTATCTTCCATGTAGTCCCAATCCACACTCAGGTTGCCCTGAGAGCTGGGAGATTACTGCTGACCATCTAATGTCCCTTAGGATACACAACCCCTGAAAGATTAAGCCACATCTAAGGCATCCTGGAACCATTGCTCAGTCCCCACTGAATGGTTCTGGAAGATGACAGAACTATAGAATGGCTTGGGTTGGAAGGGACGTCCTGCCATGGGCAGGGACATTTCTCTAGATCAGCTTGCTCAAGATGGGGAGCAAGAGATCTTGAAGCAGCCTGAAGTGTTGTGCCACATCTCTACACAGCGACTGTGGCTTCCTGCAGGAATGTGAGGTTAACCTGCTGCTGCTGGGGAGCCTGAAGGCCAGGCTCCATGGTAGTCAGCTCAGGTCTCGAGATGGCCCGTGCTACCTGCCAGGAAGCAGCAAGACTGGAGCTGCTCTGCAAGGGATGACAGTCAAAAGCAGAAGGAGATCACATCACTGGATAGTGATCTCACCAACCAGGGCACAGTACCCAATCAGGGCAGCCTGGTGACAGTTTAAGATTCTGTTGACAGTCTCAGCGATCACCAGGTAAATGTGAGACGGCAGGTCAAATCCATGTGCAATCCATGAAATCCAGTCAGGAAGAGCTGCAGGGCACAGGGCTAGGCACATGCCTGCCAGCAACACAGCTCGGGAAAAGGCTGGAGGCCAAGGTTTGAGTGTAAATGGAGCTACCCCTGCAGCTATGCCAACAAGTATGCACCGGTATGTACCTTAGGCTCCAGGTTAACTCCAGTGCCATCTGGAGAGAACATAACGTAAACTAAGCAACCACAGGAACTGGCTCTAACCGTCTTGCACCTTCTCACTGGAGCTTGAAACCCGAGCCAAACACAACCCAAAAGCATTAAAATCGATAACCAGATTACTTTCATACTCTCCAGGCCCTTCAGTCACCCATTGCTACACTCCTCCTGAAAAAGCTGCACAAAGATTCAGGAAAACTTTTAAAGGGTTAGGAAGGAACACAAATGCAGGCACAGGCAAGATGATAGACTGAGGCTTGCCAGTTCTTCTGACATGAACAGAAATGATGGAAATAGGGCCTGTGAGAATACCTGCTTCCAATCCATAATGAACAAGCATAGCAGCAGCCCAGCTTCCCAAGTAAAGACAAGGCCAGACTTTGTGGATTTTTGTTTGTTTTACTTTAAATAAAAGCCTTATACTGAGACCTGGGTTGCAGTCCTAAGCAACAGAAAGACTGGTCTCTCTGTTGTGAAGTACTAAATATGAAAATGCCTGAAGCTATCTTAAATGTAAATTGCAAAATTCAGACTACAAAATTGTATTTTACAGATAAAACTGGATTTCAAAGAATGATGAAATTGTATAGTTAATCCATTTTCAGACTTAAAATTCAACTCTATGGATTGCATGTGTTCCTGGAAAACAAACAGAACTGATAAGGATGCACTAAAATGAAAGGTAGTGTCGTGGTTTGAGCCTGGTCAGCGACCAACCACCACAGCTGGTCACCCTCCCTTCCCCCTCCCCACCTGGGAATGGGGGAGGGAATTAGAGGGGTAAAGGGAGACTCACAGGCTGAGACAGGAACAGTTTAATAATGGTAATAAAATGAGAACAATGACAATAATAGAATAAAGAAAAATAAATAAACAGGCAATGCACAACGTAATTGCTCACCACCCGCTGACCAATACCCAGCCCATTCCCAGCTGGCAACCCCGAGATACCAAGATCCCGCAATCGCAATCCCAGAAGCGAGAGCGAGCTCCTTCCCAACCACCCCTCCTTTATATAGCGAGCATGACGTTCCATGATATGGAATATTTAATTGGCCAATTTGAGTCTGGTGCTCTGGCCGTGCTCCCTCCCTGCTTCCCATGCCCTTGCACACGGACAGATCATGAGGAGTTGGAGAGTCCTTGAAGTCTCAGTAGCAGCTGAAAACATCAGTGTGCTATCAGCATTCTTCTCATACCAAACTCAAAGCTAAATCCAAAACACAGCACTCATCTAGTCCCTGAAAAGGAATATTAACTCTATTTCAGCCCAAAACAGTACAGGTAGATTAAAAAAAATAAACAGCTATTCCTTGCCCAAAGCCAGGTATTACACTTGAAAAAAAAAGTCAAATTACTGTCACATGTGCCGTCACTACATTAGGAGACAAGTATCCCCCCCTGGTAAACTATTCAGAAAAGCTATACTGAGAAGTTACCACTAAACCAGGCAAAATAAAATGTCTTTATTGCCTGCTTCAGATTAACACCTTCTTAAAAAGTATGCTGTCATTTAGAATGAAACATTAAAAAAAGGGGGTATTATTTGAGTCTCTACAAACCAGAAACTCTCAAAGTAAAATTATATCCTTAAGTAAAGCACAGACATAGAATTTCAGCACTAATATTTCTGCCTGAGATAGTCTGATAGCCTTGGTTTTATTCTAGCTTTGGCTTCTTCCTGCTCACACACCTGTACGCTTGTTTATGACACCGTGTGATTACATGACACAATGTAGGAAGAGTAGTAAAAAGTCAATCATCTTAAACCATACCATTCATATCCATAACAGTGTTGGGTTTTTTTAAACATGCAGTTGATTGGACTGTGCAATTCTCTCCATACTTCAGCTGAGACAGCTCATTTGCTTAAAAATAACTGATGAACATTTTAATTGCACAAAAATAAAGCTCCGCTTGTCTCATCTGTACAAATCCACATTTTGTAAATTGAATCAGCCACACCATACAGTATTAAAGTAAAAAGTGCAATAATTTCCTAGTAAGTTACACCCATTTAACTATGCATTTTTCCGAGGCACCGTATACAAAAGAACTCCTGCAATGCCGGGTCAGCCTACCATATGAAAATGTTAACCTTCTAGTGAGACATGTTTTGCTCGTTCTTTGTATTGAGTGACGTAACGCAGCACAAGAAGCATAACAAGGAAATTCAGATGTCCCGAGTTCTTCATCATAGTCACAATGAATACTGGTCCCCTATACCAATGAGAGATAGAAAGCTGTAAAACATAATATAGGAATATAATTTTATTGTGTTAATCTGCATATGTACTGGTACAGTTGTTCTGCAAATGCTTCTGAGGAAAATTTTTCCGTAACTCTGGCTCTCCCAGCTGCTCCCATCGTGTCCTTTAGGAGAGGATCTCTCACAATTTTTTCCATGGCCTCAGAAAATTGTGTTGGCACAGGATCACACAAAAATCCTGTGACATTATGCAAGATTGATTCTAAAGGGCCGCCTGAATTAACCGCTATAACGGGACATCTCATATACATTGCCTCCAGAGGAACAATGCCAAAATGTTCATTGCTTGGCGTGTAAAGCACACATACAGAGTTACTAAGAAGAGACATTTTCTGTTCATCCGAGAATGATCTCAGAAAAGTGACGTGGTCGTTAACACCAAGCTTGACTGCAAGTCTCCTCAGCTCTTCGTAGTGCTCCACGTTTTCCAGAACTCTTTTATCATAACCACCTGCCATAACCAGGTGAACTTCATCCCACTCATGAGAATCCAGTCTTCCTCGAAGCTCATGCAAAGCTTCAAGAGCCAATGCCAGGTTCTTTTTTCTCTCATACCTGTTAATGGAAAGAAACAAGAACTTCTTCTTTTTCGGTATCAGATCAGCTATGTCCACAGGAACTACTGTTTCAAAGCTACTGATGTTGAGTGATGGGTAGAGGACGTCTGGGTTTATGTGAGATAAGGACTTAAACGTGTCCTTGAACACACTGGCAGTGAACTTGCTGTTCACAACAATACAGTCTGCCATGCCAGTTGTGTACTCTTCCAGCCAGTCGAGCGGTATTCTGTAGAGACGCTTTAGGAAGGATTCTCTCTTGGTCAGAAGTTGATCAGGAAAGTGACAGTAAAACAAAACCTTCTTACGGGTTCTGGCCAGTCTAAGTATAGGAATGCAAGCAGAGACCTAAGGCAACCAGGAGAGGCAGGACAAGAGGAAACGTTCGTTATTTGTGTTAGCGCTGCTGGAGCACACCACGCGATTTCCAAGCCGTGCCCTGAGAGCCAGTCCTCTGCAAGGACCCTCAAGAATCGCCAACCTGTTCTTCCTCCCCCTTCCACAAGCGCACCCAGCTGCATTCCCTCGCCCGAGACCTCTTGCTGCGGCTCTAGATTTGCCCCTTCCCTCAGCTCAGCCCGTGAGGCAGCCGAGACCCCCCAGGCCCCGGCCCAGGCCCGAGACTTCCCCACGCACCTCCTGCCTGCCGCAGCCCGCCGCCAGCCGAGAGCTGGGGCGGGAAAAAGCCCAAGCAACAGCAGCGGCTTCCCCTTCCCTCCCTCCCTCCCTCCCTCCCTCCCTCCCTCCCTCCCGCCGCCCCGGAGCCCGCCAGCACCGCCGCCGCCTCCCCTCGGGGCTCCCCCCCGCCCCAGCCGCCGGGCCGCAAACGGCTGCACCCCCCGGCACCTGGTCGCAGACGAAGGCGTCGGCGCGCTGGCCGCTGAGCAGCAGGACGTAGAGCGCCAGGAAGGCCATGCGCAGGGCGGCGCACAGGGCGTGCCCGCGGCCCCCCAGGCTGCGCGGCAGCCACCCGCCGGCCCGCCGCACCGGCAGCCCCCGCGTCTCCGCGAAGCAGCGCCCGGGGTCGTAGTGCGCCGTCCAGATCTGCACCCGGCAACCCCGCGCCTGCAGCGCCAGCGCCGCGTCCACCACCAGCCGCTCCGCCCCGCCCAGGCCCAGGTCCGGGTGCAGGAACAGCACGGACGGGCCGCCCTCGCCCGCCGCCTCCATGGCCGCCGCGGGGGCACCGGGCGACCGCCACGTCCCCAGCGCAGCCGCGCGCATGCGCAAACCCGCCGGCCGCCGCGGGGACGCGTCAGCCTTCCGCCCGGGCCTTCCCCTGCGCCCCGCCCGCCGGGCGCCCCGGCCGTTTGCCCGGCGCCTCCTCCCGCTCCGTTCCCCGCGCGGCTGCCCGGAGCTCGGCCGCCGGCGAAAGGAGCGGGAGCGGGCGCCACCGGGGGCGGCCGCGCGGCGTTAACCCGGCTCGCGAAAGCGGCCGCCGAGGGAAAAGGGGCCCGCGCTGCTCAGGCACCGGCGCGGGCAGCCGCGGGGCGGGGCCCGCTGCTGGGGTGGGGCGGGGGCGGTGGCGGTGCCGCGGGAGCGCGCTGTCCGTGCGGAGCCCCCGAGCCGCCGCCGCCGCCATGGTGAGGCGCCGCCCGGGGCGGCGGGCGGGAGGGCGAGGCGGCCCCTCTCCCCCAGCGGTGCCCGCCGCCTCTCACCCCCTCCCGCTTCTCTCCTCTCTCCGCAGCCCGGGCCCAACCCCAGCGCCACGAGCGTCGGCTCCTCCGGCCGCTCCCCCAGCAAGGCCGTGGCTCCCCGCGCGGCGGGCTCCACCGTCCGGCAGAGGTGGGTGCCCGCGGCGGCCTCCCCCCCCCCTTCCCTCCCCTCTTCCCTTCCCCTTCGCCCCGCTCGCTCTGCTTGTGGCTGGGTGGCCCCTCCGGGAGGGGGGCGGGGGGGGGTGCGAAGGGGCCTCGGCGCGGCCGGTGCGCGGGTCGTGCTTCTGCGGGGCCTCTTGAGGCTGGGGGGTGGTGCTCATCGCTCGAAGCGGGCCGGCTGCTGACGCGCTTTGGCCTTTGTTTCGTTCCGTTGTCCCCTGCAGGAAGAATGCCAGCTGTGGGACGAGAAGTGCAGGCCGTGCCACTTCCACGGGTACCGGTGGGATGTGGCGGTTCTACACTGAGGACTCTCCGGGGCTCAAGGTGTAAGTTGGGTGTGTGGGACGCGCGGGGGGGGGGGGGCTCTGTGTTTCACCTGCTTAGGTAATCAGTCTTTGAATTGAGAGATCAGTGTTCTGCTCTGTATGGGAAAACGTGCCGAGTTGATGGCTGCTTAGATAGGTTTGGGACAAAATACTTAATCTGTAAGCGCGGAGATGCAGTTTCTAAAGTGACAGTGGATTTATAAAGGTAGGTACAAGTTATGTTTTGTAATTGCCTAGACTTATCTTAAGTAGTCTTTGAAGACTGCAAGCAATCCCCTTGAAGTTGTGGAATATTGCTTGTCACAGTGAATTTAGGCATCTGTGCGCATGGGTTTTGTTCTCTTTTAATCAAAGCCTTTGTTTTTTCTTTAATAGATATGTTGTGATCCTGTGTGCCCTGCTATCTCCCCTTCAAAACACAACTGATATGCCCAAATGCTTGCAGAATCTGAGGTGTTTTTATTAAAAAGTTGGAGATAATTTATTTTAGCTAAGTTTGCAAAGTGAATTGCATTCCAATACTTTGTATACCTCTGTTTTTACAAGGTGAATATTTCGAGATCATGGTCAAAAATCTGGTGGTAGTATCCCTTAAGCTGTAAGGAGACCCTAAGTTTTAACTTTTTGGGCTAGTTTGAATCATTCAGAACAAGTTCCTAAACAAGCTTTGCAGCCTAATACTTGCGTAACAAAGGTGGAAGGTGTATTTCAGCTGATGGATGTGTGCTAAGTCATACCCTGAGTAGGAGTTTGTGCTTCTTGTAGAGTTATACTTCATGGCCTTCTGTTCTTACTGGGTTGAAGAGACTCAAGACACTCATGGATGATCCTGTTGCTTCTTTTTTTTTTTTTTTCTAGAATCCATTAGTATTTTATTTTGGAGCCCTTTCAGAGGGCTGCTGCTAGCTGCAGGAATGGAACACGTGGGAAAGGGTTGGTGATAGTCTAGTTAGTGATTGTTTCATGAGTAATCTGTGCTCTGAAATTGACTTATGTGTTTTCATTTTCTTATGTGCTTTGACATTTTAAAAAACAAGCTATGCAGCAGACCATCAAAGTAGTGGTGTTTTGCTACTGCAATTCTTGCTTTCTCCATTCTGAGAGGAGACAAGGCAAAGAACACAAAAAGGCAATGAACAGTAGTGTTCTAGAGCAAATATATGCAGGTAGGCAAGGCAACTATCTTCTATGTTGTTTGGTCTACTAGAGCTCAATTTGAAAAAAAAGAACAAAACCAAGCTGAGAGAATATGGAAACATTCTACCACTAGGTAGATTTTTTTTTTTTTGGTCATAGACTCATGATACAAGCTATCAAAGCAACTTTAACAGTTTCAGTGAGTTTCCTTTTGAATCCTTTGTTTTCACTTTTGATGTTGAATGGCCACTCAGTTGTTCTAATCTTCAATACAAGCAGGTCAGTAGATCGATTTTTTCTTTCTATTTGTGTTGCAACATGGTGGTTCCCAATCTTAAGGTTTTGGGACACTGAGAGTGGGTTTTTTGATCAGGCTTTTAATGGAAGAAATAAATCTGTAAAAGTGAGTTGGTTTTACAAATCACCAGTGCACTAGATGTTACATTTTCTGAACCACTGCTTGGGAGCAACTTTCTTGCTTGCAGCTTTACGTGTATTTTTCTACACACGTTTTTTTCCATAGCAATCAATTGTTATGATCTCTGTCCTTATCAGTAGGCTTAAAAATGCAAATGGGTTATAGAGCAGTTGAGGTTGTCTCAGTAAAGTGCTTCAGCCAAAGTTGTTTTTAAATATGGTTGTGATCACTACTGCATAAAGCAGTGTGTAAGCTTAGCTTGGTGATGTTTTGTGTGTGTGTGTTCTCATTTTGTTTAAAATATGAGCTCGTAAAATTACTGTGAAGAAAGTACATAAAACCACCTGAGAACAGGTTATTTCATGCTAATTTTGATCAGCAGAATTCTGCTCTAGATCAAAAATTTAATACTTTTTATTGTGCATAATTATAACTCTGGTGCTTCAGGTATTTAATATCTACTCAACATCAGAAATAATAAATATGTTGAGTAAACAAGTTTGGTTCGCCTCAGGAAAGTATGTACATTTATCTGTAGTGCAGGATGCTACAAGATGTATATGTCTAAAAACTGTATTAGCAAAAAGGAGCTGTGGGGGGATCTGGTTGAGAGTGGGATATGATATTTTTAACACTCAGGTCAAGCATTGCATACTTTGAAAAGAAGACTAAACCCAAACTTCTTGTTCTTTCTTTGGTACTTGTGGTTCCTGTATCTTGCCTTGAGCTTTCCTGCTTAAAGATCTATAGGCAGTATTTCCTGTGAAACCATGACAGGGGATCAAATTGGGCTTGTGTTGTAATATGCAGACTTATGAAAGACATTCTGAGAATGCACAGTACCAGATTTTCAGAGGTGCCTGAATCGATTTGTTATTTATTTACTTAGTTAAACTGTGTGGTGGGCTGAGAAGATTCAGGAGTCTGGAGGAGAATTGCAGGGTTTCAGCAGGTTGTCTGTGGGACTGAAGGAAATGAGATACACATGTTAGTATTGGAAAGCTGATTATTCTGTAGGGCGATCAATGTCATCTGCATGTTTGAAAAAAAAAAACCCACCAAACACACAGTCCCCCCCTGTTTATTTTGGTGGTGCTCCTCTATTTCAGCGTGCCTTCAGCAAAAGGTAGCTTATGTATTTCTACTACTAAAGGCCCAGGTGAATTCATTAGTAATTCAGATACAGTGTAAGGACATTGTGCACCTGATATCATTACCATTTATATTATGTAGGACATAAACTTCAAGTACATTCTGTTGCTTATTAAAAGATATCCCTTGATAGGGGTTGCTTATGTAGTCACTGTGTGTGTGGACTTTTATTATTTTGTATGTTTTGTCATTGGTTTATTTGCTAAATGCTTTTTGTCTGCGTTTGCAGTTCTCCATACCCAAATAAGTCTAGATAATAGTTGAGTTTTAAAACTCAGTGAAAGATTACAGTTCTGAACATTTGAATTACATGGATGATGACCTCCTAGAAAAATATGTTAGTAAATTGTTCAATCCATTTTCAGTTTCTTTCTTACTTTGTATTCAAGTAACATTTACCTGTTTATAAACAGTAACCTGGAGGGTAATCCAGGCTGGATGACAGAATTCATGGTGTTTCTCCCAATAGCAGTTTGAAGATCAGAAATGAGATTGTGTGAAGTGAGTGGTATGAAGCACTGTTGAGTGTGTGTAATTGTGTAATAGTGTGAGTAATTGTTGTGTCTCAGAACAGTGTGAAACAGCTGACTTAGTCCTGCAACATGCATCCTAAGATTAAACTGTTTTTTAAAAACATCACTATTCAATTTCTAAACAATGTATAAAAGTGGGAAGGAAAAAAAGTTAAGAAATTTGTTAATTTATCTAATGAATTAATGTTGGATTTAACTTTGACATTCTGTGTATCTTTTTCAAGAAAACAGAAATCTCTCACCCACTGCTGCTGTTTTTGTTTTCAAATGAAATAAAACCTCTGAAAAAAGAGCTAATGTGAATTTTATGCCAAAATTTTACTAGCCGCTAGAGGACTCTGTTGGTTTTTGTATCTGACTGCCTCTCCGCTCAGGTGGCTATCTGAGTAGTAAATACAGCTGGTCATTTTCCAAAGATTGTTTTCACAATGATGAGTAATAATGAATCATTAATTACTTTTTAAATAAGTGGGGTTTTTGTTGTTATATTGTGCTTTATGGGTATGTAATATTTAGGGTGTATAACACTGTATCTTCAAAAACATAGGGGCGGTAGCAGTTTTTTATAGAGATGGCTAACACATGTCTGTGTACTTTAAGGTATTTCTTTGGGAATGGAATGAGAGTTTTCTCATACAATTGCTTATGAACTGATGAGTTCACTTGGCTGATCTGATAATGACTGGCCTTTGGACAAAGCAGACTTTTTTTTTTATGTTAATACATTTTTTTCCTTTATTTTTAGTGGGCCTGTTCCAGTTTTGGTCATGAGTCTTCTTTTTATTGCTTCTGTGTTTATGCTGCACATCTGGGGTAAATACACTCGTTCATAGACTCAGCTGCCAACTTAAAGCATACATCTTGGACCAAAAATATGGTGGATCCTGATTGTTCTTGGAAAGAGACTGGGGAAGCTTCTATCACCTGTTGAAGTCCTGTCAACTTTGGCTCTAATACCGAATTAATTTCTCAGTTTGGTCTTTGGGCAGGTTTAAAGTCTGTCATGGGTCATTTTATATTTGTATCTGTATACTTAGAATACAGGTATTGCAATAAAAGTTGTATGTGGAAATAGAAACAGTCTTAACTGTATTTTTTCCTCTTATTCCAACATAGCACAATTAAAACATTATACTTGTGGTTTTCATATATAACCATATTTCTGAGTAAGTGCCATTTGACAGTTCAAACCAGATTCTTCTGTGTTGTGCACTGCTATATCATTTTATGCCAGATCTTTTTTTGCGAATGGGAGAGGCAAAACCAGGTGCAAACATGCAAAGGTAACAAATGTGTCTGTGGAAATAAAATTGAGGTACGCTATTTGAGCTGGTCATGTTTTTCTGTAAACTCCAGAAAAATAGGTGGATTTGTTTCATTTATTTCCTAAATGCAAGTTAAACTTTACTCAGTGCTCATTATATGTAAAAGTGTATAAGTATGCTTGTTTTTCAAACTGTGCTTGAGGAGCAACATGAACTGGTACCTAGCTGATTTTAAAAAGAATAATTTCATGGCTGTCAAAGACGTGTTTCTTCTGCAGGTCCAGACTCTTTCAGGGAGACTTAGGGAGGAAAATGGACTGGGAGGATTGGAAAAGCCATGGCTGCATTTTAAATAACAGGACACGCAAAAGGGCTGAGATACGGCTAAGTGGCTCTTCAGATAATCACTCCAGTTTCCTTCTGGGTGTTGTTCTTAATTTTCCTTCTCAAGAGTCAGACAGCTCTTCCTTGTCTTTTTAAAGGTGCACACATATTGGTGCATTAGCATTTCAGTTGCTGATGTGGTCTTGAGATACAGATAACCAAATCAGGCCTTTTCATACAGTTGGATAGAATTATTTTAATCTGTTCATGTTAAGATTCCTGTTTGAATATCAGCTTGTAATGGAAAAATAATATTCTTGGTTATGCAGCCTTCATACAAGTGTTGACTGCTGACATGTAGAAGCAGCCTTTTTTATATACCACCTTCCTTTAAAGTAATTCTTAAAGTAGCATTACTTCTGAAAATAAGAAACTTCAGAACAAAAACTAGCATAAGGAATGTAGTCTCAGGGCTTTAAGAATAATTGCTTTGAGCTGTGCTTATGTCATAGTACCTAGTGTAAATGTAGAGGGAAAGATAGAAGACTTGGAGCAGAAACTGAAAATTGTCTTACAAAATATGATGGTAGGAGGGTTGTGTTTTCAGAAGATTGAAAGTTGAGGAACAGAATTCTGGTGGCTCAAAGGCAGTGGGGTAGCAGACTATGCCAAAGCGGTGGAAACAGCCAGATCAATCATGTGTGAAAAGGAAAAGGGTCCACAAACCACTTACCACTATGGATATGGAGGAAAAGTAAAAACACAAGGGAAAGTAAAACAAATAGGGGGATTAACTCACCACTTCGAAAGGTGGAGATAAGGATCTTCTATTTAAATGCTTTGACTAGCAAAAAAAAAATATATATTTGGTGATTTCGTTTAAGTCAAGAAAGAAAATGCTAAGACCAAATGTAAATCGGTTGTTCTACTGACCATGTAGACAGACTGTGCTGCTGATTTAATCCGTGGTACTCAAAGGGAAAGGAGTAACGTACTCTAAAATAGTGTAAGGGAAAGAAATAATGGATAACAGTAATGTTTAAGTAGACAACCTCTTCTTTACTCTTGATAATACAGTTTTCCAACACAGCAGGAGACAATTGTCTTTGAAACACTTCCAGTCCCTAGAAGCTGTTTTGTCACATCAAATAATTCCGCTTAAAGCCTTCAATATTTTTGCTTGTTTGGCATTTACTGCTTCTAAAGACCAAAATCAGGTATGAATTCAGAAAAAGAAAAGGGCTGGGGGGAAGGCTTACTGCTGTGCAGCCTACGTTGAATTCAACTGAGTATAAAAATACTATTTTGACAGTGCTTTCCTTGATTAAATATTTTGTTTTCTAGAATGGCCTGTATCATAGACTTTTGCATACACAGTCAGAGAGTCTAATGTCTCTAGTTTTGCACAAATTACTTCCCACCCCTTCTTGGCTTTATGTTTTGGGAGTGTGAGCTTTCCTATGGTTTAGAAAACCTTGCTGCTTTGAGTCGTGAAAGAAGTGATACTTCGGTTGGATGCAGCTAGCTGAAACATCCATAGCTTGCTTTGATGTTCCTTGTACATGATAAAAAGACAGATTTGTCTATCGTATATTTTCAACTTGTGATCATTTTAATGATTAGCATAGAAGTGTTAGGTATTCATGCTCCTATTTCTAGTATTTTTGTATGTGAGCTGTAGTGGATTCTTGAAATCAATGTTTATCAAAACTTCAGCTTCACAGAAGTACAGATAAAGAAATGCAAGTTGCAAAGACTTATTAGAAGTTTGGCTAATAACAAATGTGAAATTCTGTTTGGCCTGGGTGAATAAATTACGGCCATGCTGATAAACAGTAGCTAATCTGCAATACAGAAAACCAGTCTTTCAGTAATAGGTGGAAAAGAAGAAAGGATGGTCATTTGCAAAGCTTAATCAGACAGCTAGGAATTACTAAGAGTTTGGATTTTTATGTCTACTTGTATGTGACTGAAATACAGGCTTGGTTGAGCTGACTGTTAGACATAATAAATGTCTTTACAGTTTACGTAAGTGCTACAGAAGGCTCTAGGTTCACAAAGATCTTTACTTGATCGCCTTAACAATAAAGGTTCAGGATATCTGGGAGAACTTATATTTCCATAGAAGATATGATAAAGTACTGGAATTCTTTATTCTTGACTTAAAAGTATTTACCACCTCAGGCTCCATTATTCTTCAAGTGGAGAAGGGGTTTTACGAGGAAATGGCCCTGTTGCACATGAGTACGTCTGTGTCCCTTAAGCTTTCCCTCCTTCCTCCAGCAGTAGATTTGAGTATGAGCCAACTTCTGTCCCATTTAACAGGAGTAGAAGCTGAAAGACACTCTTCTTGAGGGTTGGATGGATTGGGTAGCTGGTGGAAGAGGGAGACTGTTGAAGTTCTCTCTGAGCAAAAGTCTCACTTTTGACTTGCTACCTAGGGAGAATAGGGGGAAAGCTAGACTTCTTACATGCCTTTATGATGGGAAAAGCTTTAATCTTTGCTCTTGTGCCTATTTGTAAGCTGAAGTCAATCACCCACAATCTATGGATCTGTAGGTATGTGGGCTTCATTAGTTCTAATGTTTCAGAACTACCTTTAATTTTTTTTTTTTTTTTTTTTTTTTTCCCCTTTCTAGGCTTCACTATTTACCGGTATCCAGTTGGCTACATCCAGGCCATCCTTCCTCGTAGTGTGCATATAGCACGTGAACTCCTTCCGTCTTTTGCCATCATGTCACAACAAATACTGTGCCTCTGATAATCACTCAGTGTTTTTCATTCTTGAAGAGACCAAGGGGAAGGGCAATTCAAGTGCATAGTTCATAACTGTCCTATACATACACAGCTCTCTTGCAGCAGAAGGATTTTTTTTTTCTTTTATCACATCAGACGCTGAATTTACCCTCCAAAAAGAAACTGTCAGCTCTTTCCAATGTCTCATCTATCTCCAGCTGTTTCTTTAAGTTCTCTGAGCCTATCAGACATAACATAAACTAGTGTAAGCTCTCTTCAGTACTGTTCACAGTAAATTATAATGCCTTTGCTACAGGCGTGTATATATATCTGTAAAGCTGCATGCATACACATGTGTATGGTCCCTTTATCAATTTAGAAATGCAAAAGGATGTGTCTCTGAAAATGTAAGATGGTGTGCCCTTACTAGACTGCACTTGTGACAGCAGCGCAAAGAAGCAAGCAGAACAGCTTTTCCTCAGCTGTGTTAGCTAGAGATGAGTGGATGCTATACTGAGATCATGCGGTGAGGCCTAGATGGTTTTATAAATATCTTAATGGATTCTGTGAGGGACTTGATAGAATTTTTTTTTTTTTTTCTGGAAAAAGAGATGCCTCTTGTTTCTTCAAAAGCTAACTTGTATACTTCAGCTTTGATAATAAGGCTGCATTGGTATCCTCATATTGACTGTTTATATAAATGTGTTTCATAGAAGGCTGTGTTTTGTACACAGCAATTGTTACTAATATATTAAGAGTATTAATGATTCTTAACTTGGGATGTGAGCTATAAGAGGGACTGTCTGCCTTTTGGCTTTTCTTTTATTGAGGGGAAAATTGTATAGCATTTGTGATTTCTGCTTTGATTTCAGAAGTTGGTGAAAAGAAAGGCAGGCAAAACAAGAGTAGGTGTGAAGTTACTAGGTACATCTCATCCCTGACATGTATTGTAGCCTTCTCTTCTTCCTTCTGTATTCTAGTTGTTTCTTTTTCTCTGGAGGCTGCTGATTATACTGAATTATGCCACGTGGTAGAATAATGCTCTGATGCAGAGACAAGGCAGGTAGTAGCGACAGTGAACAGAACCAACCCATTTTACTTAGGACAAGATCCAAGTTCATATGTGTGTCACCTCATATCTGACAGCGTTATCTCACATTCAGCTGCAGTTTGCAAATAATTATCCTTGTTTCTTATTTTGAAGGATTTTTTCACACAGCTGCCTTCTACAATAGCATGTGTGATTTTTTGACTAACCAGAAATGGAGGAGTTATTTGAAGTTACACTATAATTTCATAAAACAGAACTAAGCAGAACTTTTCATGCACTGCCCCCTCCAAAGTGCTGTTTGTCTTAATATTAACAAAGTGAAATTCTAGCTGGTTTAGTGTGATTTTTTTTTTTTTTTTTTTTTTTTTTTTTTTAGTTCAAACATTTGTTACTGAGTAAATAGACTGACCTGTTTTCTTCCTCTGATAATACAGAGAGATATCTAATATATTTATAAATGCTGCAGAGGTAAGACATTATCTCAGTGAAATGCTTCAAATGCTTCCAAAATAAAATCAGAACTAAGTTTACAGTCAGCATGCTCCAGTTTGAGGAGCTGCATCCCCCCCAAACTGATCTTCAAACACCATTCTGTGAGACCTTCTTCCAAGTTTATTAGCTACTGTTCTGATTCTTTTTCTGGTAAGGTAATATGAAAAGAACCTAAAGCAATGTTGCCTCACATTCCCAAGATTGGCTGGT